GAAACAGTTCAGGGCCGGCTGTGGCCGTTTGGTTTTTTTCTCTTTACTTTTCTTTTGAAAGTTTGATTATATCTTGGTGTTTTCTCTTGAGATCTGTCCTGTTTGAGGTTCATTCAGCTACTGTATGCTTATCTTTCCACGTTTCATGATGGACGGTTTCCAAAACTCTGCAAATTTCTCTGTGCTTATTGGAATTCCAATTACCTGTAAGGAATTACAATCACTTGTAAGTTGTTCCTCTTGATGGTGTCCTGCATTACTCAGAATTTTTCTGGATTTTTTTCATTCTATTATGGATTGGTCTTGTAGCATACTAGTATTGAGAGATTTATCTTTAAGCTCAGTAAGTCTGGCTTTCATTGCTTCAAATCTCCTCCTTTGCTCTTTCAATGTATTGTTCATTTTGAAATTTTAGAATTAATCTTCTTGTTTTTTAATGGCAGGTTTAGTATTGTTTCAAAGTTTGTATTCATTTTGACTGATTGTTCTTGTAGGTTTTCCTGAATTCTTCTAAAGTTTTTTTTCTAAAATGTTCTCTTTGGTTTCATTGGTCTTTCTGTCAATTCTCTAAAGGTAATAAATATAATACTTTTAAATTCTTTTCTTCCTTGGAAATGTTTTCTGGCTCTGCATTTTGGTCATTTGTTTGAGCCATTTTCTCTTGTTTTATCAGGTGAGCTAAAATGGTCTGTTATCACTGGGCATTGTGGAATTGTCGTATTTGTATTTAATTGATGACTGTATGTTTATCTGTTCTTAGACTCTCACCAGCTGTCTCCTGTGGGTGTAGTTAGAGACTGGAAGCCTCACATCTTGCTGGAAGTCCTGATAACTCTGTTAGCCTGCGTTTTTATGCTTTAACTACTCAACTAGAAAAAAAAAATAAAGCACAAATGCTTTAGAACCATTGATGAATAAAATTGTATGTTTGCATTCCTCTGACCTTTTAGTTTAATTTGTAAAATTGAATCTGAATCAAATACCTGTTTATTAGCAACAATTTTATGTATTTTTTTTCTCACTGGCCCTGTTTCATTTTCCCTTATGCTGATTTTGAGAGTGAATAAATGTTGAGATTGTAAGAATTAATTCATTGTTGCCATTAATAAAATAAATTGTTATGATTAGACAAATGCCAATCTATTAACCAAGTTCATTTTTTTAAAATAAATTATAGATGAACAAATATTAACAAGCAATGAAAGTGATGATGATGAAATTTTCCAAAGAAAAAGTAAGAAAGCAAAAAGAAATGTTTTTAAATCCCCTGAGGTGAGTCAGTCAGTAATCATAATCATGTGATCATATAAAAATCTTAAAACTTTTCTTATGTTTAAGACCTTTTGTTTATCCTTTATCTATTTTATCTAGAATCAGAAAAAGGGTGAAGTTGATTCTCCACTTCATGGTGTCAAAAAGCGCAGAGTTCGTCCAAACAGAGTAAGTAAATAACAGATAATGCATAGTAACTCAAATTCTTATGAATAAATATTTCAAGAAAAACATACGTATAGTTGAATACTGTTATAGTTAATATTAGAGGTACATGGTTGACAGAAAAATACAGAAGTAATACCCATGGGATTGATATTTCTATTTCTTTATTAGTTTCCAGAAATAAATTTTACAGCAAGCTTTTCAAAGCACAATCAATATAAGTATTAAAATATTTTATACTCCCTTCAAAAGCTATCCATCCATCCATCTGAGTGCCTAATTATGCATTCCGTCTTTTGCTGTGAAATCAATTCCAGCTCGTAGTGATCCTTTAGGACAGAGTAGAATTGTCCCATTGGGTTTCCAAGGTTGTAATCTTACAAGAGTAGACTGCCACATCTTTCTCCACAGAGTGCGTGGGTTTGAATTGCTGACCTTTCAGTTAGCAGTTGAGAGCTTCAACCACTATGCCACCAGAGCTCCTTACATAGTTATAAGTGAAAGTTAAGCACTGGGCTGCTAAATGAAAAGTTGGTGGTTCAAACCTACCAGTCACTTTATGGGAGAAAGATAAGGCAGTCTGTTTCCATAAAAATTTATAGCCTCAGAAATCCTTTGAAGAAAGGTTTTATTTACAGCTCAAAATGATACAGAATCGACTTTTTGGCAGTGGGTTTTGGTTTGGTTAGTGATATATAGTGGTAGGTGTCATAGTTAAAACTGGTCATTTATTATGTTTGGTTTCTTGGTATTACCATACCTGATTTTAAAAATTCTTAAGTATTATATATTTGTAATATAGTTTTGAGTTGTGAGAGGAATTTTATCTTTCTAACAAGAATATGTTGTGCCAAATAATTTAAATAGAAAAAGTGAGTGAAAACAAGCAATTTTTGAGAATACACTCAATTATTTTTTCTTATACAAGAATTTTGTTGAATTATTATAGTTAGAACTGTCGTCTAGTGATGAGAGTGAGGATTTTCACAAACAACATCCACATTTAGAAGACTACAAAGGTTGTAACAGGAATCCCAAAAAATATGTCAAAGTCCAAAAACAACCAAGCCACCTAAAGGTAAACTTTTTCTAGTTTCTTAATTATAGATCTTATTTTGCTAGCAAGAATATTAGATTTTTTAAAATAAAGTTTTATTGAATTATGTGATAGTTTGTTTACATGGGTATGTGGGAGAGCATTAGTTTTACATTCATCCTATCGTATATTGTTTCATTGCCACGGTTACAATCCCCTCCATGCATTACCAATCAATGAAAGGGTACATTCTACAAGCCTGCTCCCTCCCAATCCCCCACACCCAGATGTCAGCACACAGGCCCTGTCCCTTCCTGGTTCCTGAGTCCCCAGCTGATCCATCTCTCCACGTCATCATCTTTGCCTCCATCTCGGGGATTGCTGCATCTCTGTGTAGGGTCCTGCTCTCTGCTCTTCTCCCTTCATGGTTCCAGGGACCTCTTCTCCTAGCCTACAAAGTTAAATCACTCCCCTCCTTGCCACAAAATATCTACTTTTACATTTACAACCTTTACAGTCAGTCCTGGTAACAATTATTCACCCTTGTATCATAAGAGACCTATCCGCATTTCCTTTCATCAGTCCCGCCTAGACAGATTGGATACTGCTCAGTGGAGATTCTACCTTCCTCTACGCCCTCTGGATCTAGGTTCCCTCCTGAAAGCTTGTAAGCCAGTCACTTCTTACCTTTGTAGCCCCCCCCACATTTTGGATAGCCAATGTCCAAGTTGCCCATCCTTGTCCACTCTCTGTATGGAGTGGGTGGGAATGATCCTTGCTATAAAGCTTTGTTCCCTCTTTTGAGTTGCTGCATCCATAGGTGTAGGTCAGGTTCATCAAATTGTATCAGATTAGTTTTTTTTTCTTCTTCTTTCTTCTTCTAGTTGAGCTCTGATCATCCAGTCATTGAGGTCATCTCAAGTGGGTATTATCTGCAAGTGTGGGTGTTCTTGTGCATGTGCCCTCACTTCTTATCGCTGAACACTTCACTCTCCTCTCCAGTCCTCCGTGGCCATGTCACTGACTCTGGGCCCAAGAGTCCCCAGGTCTTGCCACAATGCTGGCCAATCAGGTCTCCACCCAGGTTCACAGGAGTCTATTGAATGTTGTAGGGCTTAGCTCGCAGCCTCATAGCTGTTTTTAAGAATATTAGATTTTATATGGATATTTTATTTTTCTATTCTAAGCATTATATAGAGTGCAGTGGCTCTGAAGGATAAAGACTGGATTGTGAACCACAAGGTTGATAGTTTGAACCCACCAGCCACTCTTTAGTAGAAAAATGAGGCTTTCTGTTCACACAAAGATTTATAGACTCAGCAACTCTATGCAGAGTTGTTATGAGCCAGTACAAACTCAGTCGCTTTTAACAACAACAAACATTATATATTTTCCATATAACAGAAAATTTAAAGCATATAAAAAAATTTAAAGCATTTTGACCCCAAAATTGCCTAATGGAATTACAAATCTCAAGTTGGACTATTTTTTTTTATTTCTCTTTGATTCCTGAAACTTCATCTTGCAATATTGCATTATACAGAATGATCAAGTGATGAAATTTATTTATATTGAGAATTCATGGTTCAAATTAAAGGAAATGCAGAGATAAAAATTTGAGGTTTAGAATGTTGTTTTTATAATCATTATATCGTATGTCTCATCCAATTCTTGTAAAATAATTCTCAGCATGTTTTCTTTTATGATACAGTATATTTCATGTTAAAATTAATTAGCTGGAAGACTCAGGAGATTTTATGCTTAGAAAAAAAGATTCAGCTAACTGACCATTAGGAAACATTATAAGCAAATATGCTACTTTATAATTTCTTGTAGTTTTCTAAAGAAATTATTTTCTAAAGGATTTTTTTAATGTGCTCTTATTTACTCTAGAATATAGGTAGGCAGTTTTTAGATGATGAAGCAGAACTTTCCCAAGAAGATGCAGAATGTGCTTCGTCAGATGAAAATGATGACTCAGAAAATGAACAAGATACCTCATTACTCAACTTTTTAAATGATGAGACTCAACTTTCACAGGCTATTAATGGTAAATGTTATTATGATGCTGATAATTATTTTTAAACTTTAAATATTTTTGAGTGTTTATTTAAATATTTTAATTCACTTTCTAAGAAACTAAAGTTTAAAGGGAATAAAATTTGTGTATTGGTCGTTTGCAACTCAGATTCTGTAAATTTTTTTTGGTTGTTTATAGGCTTATGCTAATTTGAATATATCAGTCTAAAATAGCCTGGCTGAAGCAAACCAGTGTTAAATATTCATTTAACAAAGATTTAGATTCTACTGTGTGCCTGGTACTGTTTAAATTGCTTGAGAAAGATAAATCAGTGAAAAAAAATAGACAAAAACTCCTGCCCATATGAAGCTAGTAAAAGGAGACGAATGCACATAATAGCTTAATTGTTTGGTATGATGTGAATATTTTACGGGAAAAAATGAACATGATAGGGATTTCAAGTGGCTGGAATTAGTGGTATTAGTAATAGACAGATAGCAATTTTCAGTAAGGTGATTAGGTGTGTAGGCTTTTTTTTTTTTTTTAATGATTTATTGTGAATTATGTGATAGTTTACATGGGAGAATATTACTTTTACATTCATTCCATCGTATATCGTCTCATTGCCATGGTTACAATCCCCTCCATGCAGTCTTTCCCCCGTGCCCCTCAGGTCTTCAGCACACAGTCGCTCTCCCTCTTTAGATCTCTGGATCTAAAGTCTCCAGCTGCTCCAGCGTTCTACAGCATCATCTTTGGCTCCATTTCAGGCATCATTGCTTCTCTGGGTAGGGTCCCGCTCTCTGCT